ATATAGCAAATCTCTATAGACTATAAGGCACCCAAGATGACGTCATCAAATTACCTCTTACCAATGACATTTCACTAATGGACCGGCCCTGGCCATATTCTCAGACAGTGTTTGTTTGCAGCCAACATTAGAAAGAGAGGTCCGAGAGAGATGGAGCTATTCGAGGTAAACACTCATATTTTTATCTAAGGGCCGTAATAGGTTGTCATTCTGCCATCTTATTTTGCAATTAAGTGCAGCACAGGGGGGAACCAAATTGATATTTCATTGGCCTTTCACTCAAATATAATAAAATACTCACATCAATAGCTGCTTTCCAGTGCCTAAATTGTTAGAGTATCATGCTCCAGGGCTGGGATCACGACGAGTAGAATTTTACTTTCATGACGTCACCCACGATCTATTTATTGCGTACACTACAGGCGATGATGATGGTTGCTAGGCAACCTGACGTCATGAAAGTAGAATTCTAGTAAAATTCTACTTGTCGTGATCCCAGCCCTGGAGTGTGACGCTCTTGAACTGTTCGACATAAGCAGCACTGGAACGCTCTCGTGTTAATCTTCACCATTTCGGACTTCAGGGCTGCGTTCAGGAATGGCTACAGTCAAGCCAAAATTGGCATTTTGCGTTTCAGTTCGGCTCGGCTCCAACCTACGTGGTTTGGCATTACCGGTGGAGGGGGAAAAGTAGGTTTTGGCATTAGCTTTGCCGTCCTTGAACGCACTCCAGAGGTGCTTTCCAGTAACCCATTTGAGTTACTCCTGAGCAGCTCAGGAGTGCTCCACAATTACTTTGCGCGTTCCAGTGCTTAGAGTGTAGTACACTTGAACTACTCATTTCTGTTATCCCCTGCCCCCTCATGCACCAACCTTTATTTCGGTGTTTCATGTTCCTGAAGTGCAAAATGGTGGGGGTTAAGACGAGAGCGTTCCAGTGCTACTTATGTCGAACAGTTCAAGAGCGTCACACTCCAGGAGCATGATACTCTAACAATTAAGGCACTGGAAAGCAACTCAGGAGCATGGAAAATCGAGATAAAGGTTGGTGCACGAGGAGACAGGGAATAACAGAAATGATTAGTTCAAGTGTACGACACTCGAAGCACTGGGGCCTTATTCTGTAAAGAACGAACCGTTCGATTCGGTAGAATTTCTTCGATTGTGACGTCATTTTCGACATTTTCGGAATAGCTTCCGCGCTAGCAAACCGAAAATGACGTCACAATCGAAGAAATTCTACCGAATCGAACGGTTCGTTTTTACAGAATAAGACCTGCAACGCGCAAAGTAATTGTGGAGAACTCCTGAGCTGCTCAGGAGTAACTCAAATGAGTCACTGGAAAGCACCAGGAGTGAAGCTTAAAAAAATAAACGAAATTAAACCGATCGGAATAAATCATTGAATAAATTAACGTTGATACAAACGTTGACAACTTGCTTGACAAAAACAACAAGCACGTCAAATCCCGTTGTGTTTTGCCTCAATTAGCTCTATCCTTGTCGCACTGCGTTAGAGTCAATAAATCGCCACCAAGGGCCGGTCCATAGTGAAACGTAATATGATGTCATTGCCCCTTACCAGGGGCCTTATTCTGTAAGGAATGAACCGTTCGATTCGGTAGAATTTCTTCGATTGTGACGTCATTTTCGGTTTGGTAGCGCGAAAACCAAACCAAAAATGACGTCACAATCGAAGAAATTCTACCGAATCGAACGTTTGTTCCTTACAGAATAAAGCCTAGTACTCATAACTGCGAAATTCGCACTTTTTTGACATTGCTTCGACAATTTGACGTTTGATTCACGAAAAAAACGTCTAATTTTCGACGCAATGCCAAAAAAGAGCGAATTTCGCAGTTATGAGTACTAGGCTTTAGGCCCCTGACAACCCATTGAGGCTGAATTCGGTTGTACACTCTGGGGCCTTATTCTGTAAGGAACAACCGTTCGATTCGGTAGAATTTCTTCGATTGTGACGTCATCTTCGGTTTAGTTTTCGCTCGTTTTCGCGCTACCAAACCTAAAATGACGTCACAATAGAAAAAATTCTACCGAATCGAACGCTTCGTTCCTTATAGAATAAGGCCCCTGAGCGCGCTCGAAACGATAAGATCCTGTTCGTTTTAACTCAGAGTGTTCTCTTTTACGTTGGGCTTATGACCGAGTATGACGTTACGATATCCATGGCTCATACCGTTCAACCGTTCCGCTCCGTGCAGTGCAAAGCCGAACTCAGCCCAAAATATTAGAAAGTTCTCGTGCGTCAGACGCTACGCTAATACGGTACCGCTAACAATACGGTATTTCACATGGTATTTTATAGTTCTCGGGCACGAAGACACATAAATCCTCTTATCCCTTATTCTGTTTACTTTTTGACAGCTGAGTTGAGTAATCTAACCCCACGTTTTTTGCTTGTTTTCTAACTTTTATGTATTCTGAAGATTCCTGAGCTTGAATAATTTTTCCTTGGTGTTTTTTATGGAGGAATTATTAGAAGTTGCTGTTTTTGCAGACATAAATGAAGCGTAAACTAGTTTTGACATAGCATAGCGTTACGGTAAGGCATCCGGTAAGTTCCGTTAGATAGCGGGCTCTGCTAACGTGGGGTGACCATACGTACAGCATTTTGAAAGTCTGTCCAGCATTTGATTTTGTACAGCAAACGTACAGCGATTCGGATCCTAATTGAGTTTTTCTTAAAAATGGTAAAATTGTACGAAAAATTGTCCATCGATAACTAACGCCACATCTCTACATTTGAGATTTACGTCATTTACACGATCATCTTCAGAGTATGGTACTATGGGCCAGAAGTCTTCTGCGTCCGTTTTCCGACATCCGATGTCCAGAAAACCTTCTACTGACATAGTAGTATAAAAATATATTAGAATAGAAGGTTTTTCAGAAATCGGACGTCGGAAAATGGATGCATGAGACTCCGGCTTAAAACGAGCTATAGTTGACAAATTTTGGCCAGAAAAACTTTTTTTGGGCGTGGCACCGTTTTTTTTCTTTAGCATTTAGTGCTTTCTCCACTCACCTGTCCCAAAATTTTAGATGTGTACAGCATTCCTACAAAAAAAATATGGTCACTCGGTTGCCCGCAAGGTCGTTTGAGAGAAATAGGTTGCCTGCAAGCTTATTTGAGAGAGGTAGGTTGCCAACTGTATGACGTCATCTGGAGTGCAAATCTCGATAAGGCACTCCAGGGTCCTTATTATTGAAACAGGGGAGCAGCGTTAGGGGAGCAGCGTTTCCAGCAGAACGAGTGTTCCGTCTTTGTTACTTATATTATCATTTGAATATCATTGAGAAAGACGGAACACTCGTTCTCCTGTTTCAAGAATAGGGACCCAGGGCTGGAACTTTATAACGGATAGAGATCGTTATCCCTATTACTATGGCACTTGCTGCTATCGCTTTTCTCTTGTCGAAATCAATAGAGAGGAGATGTCAATAAGGATAGAAATTATTTCTAGTTCTTACAGAGTCCCAGCCCAGATGCGCCATCAAGTTAAGCCTAGTACTCATAACTGCGAAATTCACATTTTTTTGACATTGCGTTGACAATTTGACGTTTTATGCGTGTATCAAACGTCAAATTGTCGAAGCAATGTCAAAAAAATGCGAATTTCGCAGTTATGAGTACTAGGCTTTACCCAGACAACCTATTAACTTTAGGAACCGGATTGCCTGATAATTTCTATGACGTCATCTAGAATACCTCTACACTACATAATGCCAATCTCCATAAGGCACCGCAGATGACGTCATCAAGTTACCCCTTACCAGACAACCTATTAACTTTAGGAACCTTGAGATGCCTAATAACATTCATGACGTCATCAAGGCAAGGGTGCCTCCACATAGGCAAACATCCATAAGGCACCCCAGACGATGTCAGCTATAGTTACCCGCATTACCAGACCAAGGAACAAGGTTCCTGATTAACTTTAGGAATGTTGGAAACAAATATACAACTTTGTCTACCTAGGAAAATACGAAAACCCATTAGAATTTCCTCGACAAAAATGGCCATTAAATGGAGATATTTCCACTTGAAAAAATAAAAATATCTAATTTCTGGCAAACGAAACAGTTGAGACGTTTAAAATTGGAAAGAAAATGTTAAGTACTTAAGTACACTCAGGAAAAGTTCAAAATTACGTACAGACGATATTAATTAAAGAGGTAGTTTAGCTAATCTTTAGGTAAAAAGTTTCAAAATTAAGGTACAAGAAGGCTTATTAAAGCTAACTTTTATAAACTGACTTTTAAATTTTGTTATTAAATTCTAGATGTTACAAATTGAGATAAGCCTTATTTTTTCATTTAAATCTCAGCCACGCCGGAAAATAGCATTTTTCAATGTCCCGCGCGAGCGATAATACACTGAATTTGTCTCTCGAGGTTAGAAAAGAGCACCGTATAAATTCTGCATTGTTCTCTAGAGCGAGTGTAGTGACAGTGAAAAAATGCCTTTTTACTTTTTGCATGCACGAAATGCAAAATAACCGAAACGGGGTCGTATGTGCGCCCAAAAGTTTCGTTATGTAAAATTGGAATTTCTATAATATAGCAATTAATTTGGGAAACTTGATGTGATTTAGTTATTGGTTGTTAACAATGTTGCAATTAGTGCAATCAAAATAAGAGCAGTTAATTGGTTTATTCAGCGGGTGTGTTTTAATTATAATTAAATGTGCAACGAAATTTTAAAAAAATTATCATCATCAAAGTTGTGGATTTCCTCATTACAATAATATCCTTGTTTGTTTAAACATTTTGACAATAATAGATGGCGCTTTTATTTTTAGCGTCTGTTTTGTCTGTTTTGATTGGTTCAAATGAAACAAACGAAAATATTATAAAATGTAAACAATAAGTAAGAAAAATGTATAGTAACTAAGTAATTAATGCATGTACCTATAGTATATAGTTATACCGGGTATTGTTTAGGCAGTGCTGTCTGTCTGTGAGAAATTAACATACCTAATTATGATGTAAACAAAAACAGTGGACCAGATTTTCACAATTTACATTGTTTTCATGAAGTGTGAGTGTGGAGGTGATTATGGAAATGATGGAGGCTCGGCTCAATCAAAGTCTTCAAAGGAATTGTAGGGTAAGTCGAGTAGTTTGAACCAATGACATAGGAGGCCGGAAGGGTAAGATCGAGAGGCGCTTAACTGGTCAAAATTTGTGTACAAGTTGGTCAAAATCTTAGAAAATCCCACAAGATCTACATGAAATCCCTAAAAATCTTTAAAATCCTTGAAAATCTCTTGAAATTGCATAAAATCCTACAAAATCTCACAAAATTTTATTAAAACTAAAAAAATCCTGCAAAATCTCATAAATTCATTAATAACATTCCTTAAAAATATTTCCTTTGAAATTCCCAAAAATTCTCTGGAATCCCTAAAATATAATAGAATTATGTTATTCTGAAAAAGGAATTACTTACATGTGAAATATTTGCAAAGTTTCCATAGAATTAACATTAAATTTTAGTTTCTGTTGAATTACATGAAATTTTCAAGAAATTTCTTGACATTTTAGTGGAATTTCGATTGAATTACACGAAATCCTGAATGAGTTGCATGGAAGAATTCTAAACAATTAGGTACATGGAATTACACTGAAATTTTCTACATAAAATACTAAGTAGTGCTCGTTAAATTACATAAAGAATTTCAAAAAAGTTTCAAAAAACTATATGCAGTTGCATGGAATTTCAAGAAATTGTCAGGGAATTACATGAAATTTAAGTGGAATTATGAACTACTCTTGTCGTTTCATATGGAATTCCCAGTGAGATTCCGAAAAATCCTAATGTAATTACCTACATGAAGTTTTATTTTTATTCCGAGGAATTCCCAGTTAAAAACATGGAATTTTAGTAAAATTACAGAAAATTTCACAAGAGGAATTCCGAAGAATTTCCAGCTAAAAACTTGGAACTTCGGTGAAATTCGGAAAAATTTCCATGTAATGACATGAAATTTCAATATATTTCGGTGAATTTTCATTTTCAAAAAATTACTTGAAGTTTCATTAAAATCATTAATATTCCCAGGAATTCCTGACTATTGAAAGGAAATTTCAGTGAAATTCCGAAAAACTCTTATGGAAATAAATGAAATTTTGAGAAATTTTCGACTAGGGGAGAACCACCTACAGTGGCCACATTTTTACTTTTATTGCTGTAACTTTCCCATTTTGGTCAATTTATTGTCCAGAAATTTATTTTAGATACTTTAATTATTTGTCTAAAAGGCACCCTATATGAATTATGGAAAGAAATTATTTACAAAAAATTACGCTCCTTTTTTCTTAATTCCCAAAATGTGGCCACTGTTGGAGCTGGTAGGCTACTCTGGCCACCCCATATTCTAACAACGGCCACTGCTTTCCAATTCCAAATCAATTAAACCTTTGAACGTTTTGAAAAATATGTTTTATTTATCTTGTTGCTCCTTCTCCGCCGATTCTGGCTTATAATTGTCAACTCCCCTCCCATATATTTACATTTTGTGACGTAGCGTCTCAATGTGGTTCTCGGAATTTCAAATTTAAAAACCGCCCGTTTTACAATCCAACCACCTTCAAATATGCGGTAGAGAGCATTTTTTATAGTTTCGGCAGGTGTTTTTCCAGTATTGCTTCTATTTTTTTTTTTTAGAATCTCCTTAACGCTGAAAAATAAACTCGATTTTAACAGTGGCCACTACTAATATTGCATATAAGTAGTGGCCACTGTAGGGAAATATTAATATGGCCAGTGTTGAAGAAACCCTGTTTCTGAAATTTTCTTTCAAAAAATTGCAAACCATAATATTTTAGAATATATTATAGACGAAAAACGTTCTTTACATGCAGTAGATTATTATGAAAATATTACATAAAAAATGTTATAAAGTATTCCGGAGAAAATTTGAAATAAACCCACCTGCATATGTAAGTTTGGATATAAGAAAAGGACATACACACTCTACCGCACACAAAATGGAACTGCTTACATTTCTAACCCAAACATTCTTTAGTACGGGCAATAAGCCTTATACTCTAGATATGGCAGCACTACTTTATAGTTGATAAAGTAATTATTAGCAAATGGCCACTGTTGAAGCCTAGCCACTGTAGGTGGTTCTCCCCTAATAACGTGGAATTTCAGTGAAATTTCAAAAAAATATCATAAAATTTTAGTGAAATTCCGAGTTTCTAAGAAATTACATGAAATGTCAGTGCAATTCCAAAGAGTTTTATGAAAATTTTGTGGAATTCCAGCGTAGTTCAGTGGTGAAGTTTTCGGAATTTCAGTAAAGTAAAAAAAAAAAATTATGGAATTTTGAAATTGAAATTTTAGTGAGGAATTTCATGAAATCCTATAATGCAATTTCGAAAAAAAAATTGTCTAAGAATTCCATAAAATCTTCTGGTGAAATGTTGAGGAATTTTTATGGAATTACCGAGAGAATTACCTAAAATTTTCGCGAAATTCCTATAGAATAACTTGAAATTTTAGTGGAATTCCTACGAATTTCATGAAATTTCATAGTGTAATTCCGAGGAATTTTTGTCCAAGAATTCCATTGAATTTTATGGTGGAATTCCATGAAATCTGATGGTGAAATTTGGAAAAGTATTAGGTATGAAATCTTATAGTGAAATTTCTAGGAATTTACGTTTTTTCATTCAAATTTGTCACTTGAATGGAATTTTGAGGAATTCCATAAAATCTTTTGGTGAAATTTTAAGGAATTTCTTTGGGAATGACTAACATTTTCGCGGAATTCCTATGGAATAACTTAAGGTCTATAAACCTAGCAGTCCCAAGGTGGAAAAAAACTTCGGGAACTATATAATAATTAGGTGCTAATTAGGGCCTCTAATTAAAAATTAGGTGCTCCTCTAGTTTTTGAGAAAATCAAAAAAAACTAAGGGATTGCTAGGTTTATGAAAGCTAGCAGTCCCCTATAGTAAAAAATATTTTTTTCAAATTTCTTCTTTGTATCAGAATTAGGTGCTTTTTAGGTGCTCCTAAATGGTCCAAGAAAAAATAGAATTGATTAATTATTAACTGAGTTACAGATTTTTTTTTAATTAGTAGGAACTGTTAGTTTCCATTAACCTAGCAGTTCCTTTTTTTTTTTTGATTATCTCAAAAACTAAAGGAGCACCTAATTTTCAATTAGTAGCCCTAATTAGCACCTAAAAAGCCCCTAATTATTATTACTACATAGACCCCGAAATTTTTTTTCTATTCTGATACATCACCAAATAAAAGTGAAGCCAACAATTTCCTAATAATGAAAAAAATCTGTAATTCAGGTAATAATTAACTGATTCAAGTTTTTCTTCGACTAGTTAGGAGCACTTAAATAGCACCTAATTCTGATACAAAAAAAAAATTACTATAGGGGACTGCTAGCATTCATAAACCTAGCAGTCCCTTGGTTTTTCTTGATTTCCTCAAAAAATCAAGGAGCACCTAATTTTCAATTAGAGGCCCTAATTAGCACCTAAAAAGTACCTAATTATTATATAGATCCCGAAGTTTTTTTCAATTCTGACACACCAACAAGTGAACGTAAAGCTAGCAGTCCCCTAATAATTAAAAAAAAATCTGCAACTCAGTTAATAATTAATCAATTCTATTTTTTCTTGGACTATTTAGGAGCACCTAAAAAGCACCTAATTCTGATACAAAGAAGAAATTTGAAAAACATATTTTTCACTATAGGGGACTACTAGCTTTCATAAACCTAGCAATCTCTTAGTTTTTTTTTTGATTTTCTCAAAAACTAGAGGAGCACCTAATTTTTAATTAGAGGGCCCTAATTAGCACCTAAAAAGCACCTAATTATTATATAGATCCCGAAGTTTTTTTTGCCATTCTGACAAACCAACTTGTAAACGTAAAGCCAGCAGTCCCCTAATAATTAAAAAAAAAATCTGTAACTCAGTTAATAATTAATCAATTCTATTTTTTCTTGGACTATTTAGGAGCACCTAAAAAGCACCTAATTCTGATACAAAGAAGAAATTTGAAAAAAATATTTTTTACTATAGGGGACTGCTAGCTTTCATAAACCTAGCAATCCCTTAGTTTTTTTTGATTTTCTCAAAAACTAGAGGAGCACCTAATTTTTAATTAGAGGCCCTAATTAGCACCTAAAAAGATATTATAGATCCCGAAGCTTTTTTTTCCACCTTGGGTCTGCTAGGTTTATAGACCTAATAACTTGAAATTTTAGTGGAATTTTGAAGAATTTCATGAAATCTTGTATTATGATTCCGAAAAAAAAACAATCCAATAATTCCATTGAGTTTTATGGTAGAATTTCATAGAATCTTATGGTGAAATTCGAAAAAGTAATATAAAATCTTATAAGTAAAATTTTCAAGAATTTCCGGTTTTCCATTCAAATTTTTCTTTTGAGTGGAATTTGGAGGAATTCCATAATTTAGTGGAATTCCAAAAACCCTTTTCACGTGGCTCCGATTTAACAAACCGCAACATACCGCTCAAATTCGAGTGGTAGATATCCAACACGTCACTTTGTAACCGGGTTAGAAAACGGTATGTCATTTCTCTAATCGTTTTGCAAGTTAAACCGGAGCCACGTGAAAAGAACTAAGGAATTTCGGTAGAATTATGTTATCCCCGAAAAAGGAATTACATGTGAAATATTTTCGGAGTTTCCATAGAATTCACATTAAATTTTAGTTTCTGTTGAATTACATGAAATTTTCAAGAAATTTCATGAAATTTCAGTGGAATTTCGATTGAATTACACGAAATCTTGAATGAGCTGCATGGAAGAATTCTAAACAATTACATGGAATTACACTGAAATTTTCTACATGAAATTCCAGTGCTCGTTAAATTACATAAAGAATTTCAAAAAATTATATGCAGTTGCATGGAATTCCAAGAAATTGTCAGGGAATTACATGAAATTTAACTGGAATTATGTACAACTCTTGTTGTTTCATATGGAATTCCAGTGAGATTCCGAAAAATCCTAATGTAATTATTACCTACATGAACTTTTATTTTTATTCCGAGGAATTCCCAGTTAAAAACATGGAATTTTATTAAAATTACAGAAAATTTCA